ACGAACTGATAACCTCCTCCTTTTTTGGAAGTCGGTTAAAAATTCATTAATATCGTTTAATGAATATTTAAGTTCTGTAAATAAAAATCTTTACTTAACGAACGATTATGAAATTTTTCTGTTTGTTTTCAATAAATTTCAATTTCTGGGCAAGAGAGAGGTTTTAACCGCGTATCAACAAAATGCAAAACCGCGTATCAAGATAATGCAAAACCGCGTATGTGAGGTTGCATAAATTATTTTCTAGATAGTAAAAACACTCATATTTGAAAATTGTTTTTTTTTTTATAAAGCAAATCGCATTTCTGGCTAGTATATTTCAGAATGAATGGATAAGGATTGAGCCAAGAGCTTGTGGGAGCAAATCCAATTTTTGGCAGCCAATGTCAGTTACGCCGTTTTTCAGAATGACGATACGCGGTTTTGTACTTTAAACGATGATATGTACGTTCATAGCATTTTCGTAGATTTCACGAAAAATAGGACTACCAAGGCTTCTGTGATAGCCCCCACTTATAGCCTATTTTCACCAAAAGCTTAAGAGGTCAGGTAAGTTGAAAGAATTTTCATATATATACTTCAATATAATATTTGTAAATGTAATAATATTTGTGTAACTCTTTTCTATTTAACGGGTCACCCTAATAAACCATCGATATTATGGTAAAATTTGCGAAGATGTAACGCATAGCTCAGCAAAAAATTTCGAACACATGGTGTTTGTCTCAGTGGGTGAATTTGGTGGAGTGACTTGGGAACCACTTGGGGTACAGGGGGCCCATTTGGAAACAGTTTAGGACCAGTTGGTAACTAGTTTTTGGAGGCCTGTTTGTAAGCAGTCAGGGACCAGTTGGGTTCAGTTTGGGACTAGTCAGAAACTAGCTACTTTCGTACCATCTGGGGCCCAGTTGGTTGATTTGAACTCCAGTGGCCGTCTTGAGGCGTTCGAAGGCCTTTTAAGGAGTTTTTGGACGCTGGGAGTGCCGTATTAATGTGTTTAAGCACCAATCTATTAATATCGTTGAATTATTTCAATATTTATTGCAAANAACGTGTTTTTGGACGCTGGGAGTGCCGTATTAATGTGTGTAAGCACCAATCTATTAATATCGTTGAATTATTTCAATATTTATTGCAAAACTTTATACAGACAAGACTAAAAAGTAGAAAATAAACAAAATAAAAAAACTTTTTAATATAAACAATTTATGAGATTAAAAATGCAAAGCGTGGGGCGCATGTAATAGACTTGAATTGATATATAAATATATGAATAGCGATCGCTTAAAATCGATATCAAATTTATACTTGTGCTGTAAAAATTTTAGGTCTATGTTATGTAGTTTGACTGTTGTCAATTAAATCTAATGTTTTGTATTGCACGCGTTCCACGTTTTTCGTTTTCAATCTCATAAATTGTTTATAATGACTTTTGCTAAAATTTCAAAATCAAAAGTTATCAAAACANTTTTGTACTGCACGCGTTCCACGTTTTTCGTTTTCAATCTCATAAATTGTTTATAATGACTTTTGCTAAAATTTCAAAATCAAAAGTTATCAAAACAAATTCTATGGGACTGAGAAATATTATTTTCTGCTTTTTAGTCCATTTATAAAAGCGTGGTATATTAAAAAGTTTTATTTTTTTTATTTTTATATTTGATTTCAAACTGAAAGAAAAGTGAGTGATGCCACATTAATTAACAGATTTAACGATCATTAGTTAAGTGCTCGTTGGAGCTATTGAAATGAATGTTTCTGAGTGCGGCTGTAAATGTTTTTTTACGATGAAAAAAGAATGCCACGATACAATTAAATGATAATCGCTGAATTCGATCAGATGATTAGTCATTGCCATCTCTACAAACGCACTACAACCAATCGACACATTGGATAATCATGTGCAATCAGTTCATTTTTTCTTACCTATATTATCTGATAATTGAATTGCTAATTGAGAGAAATGCACTTACATCATTGAATTCACTCTTGAATGGTCCATGTGATTGCATTAGTTTGAAGAATGTGCGCAAACGCTTCGATTTATGTGGCAAAACTGGCTGCGCATAGGCCAGGCAATATTGTCCTTTGATTTCTTCACCGTCATCGCCGTTAGCTGCTGTTGCATCACCAGTGGTGGCGCTGATGCCTAGACACTGGTCGAAATCACCCAGCTGATTTATGTTGCCATTGAGTATCCCCGAAGTGATCTTGCCGGTGGAGTCGTGCACTACAATAAAAAAAGAAAGAGCTATGTGAACCTTTCATAAAAATCTAGGAATTTGTACAGCCTAGATAAACAATTAATTTTTTACTGATACATTTAATGTAAAGTATATATAAATACTTACTTATGGAAATGAAGCACACTTCGAAAAAATTTTAATTCAGTAAATTGATTTTGCACGTTTTCGGTTTCAGCTTGTGAGCCGATGAATAAATTAATACGTAAAGGGGAAACAATAATTGGCAGCAGGTTCGGTATAAATTGAATAAAAGATAAGTAATCAATTGCTAGCGTTGTGAATAGACAAGAAGCAAATAACATTGATGTCACGTGATTGGCGGAAAAAGTTGTACAATAGCTTCTCGTGGAATGCTCTGAGTACAGAGGCTGTATGAAAAGCTACTTAATAAGATGTAGTGAAAAAATTATTGTACTGTCTTTTCAAAGATATCTTTGAAACTCTCTCAAATTATCAAAGAAATGCATTATTTTAATTTCAGCAAGAAATATCGAATATTTTTGAGTTTTTTTATAGCAAAAATAAAAGGCAAAGTTTGAGTGATATTTTTTGAGCAGAAGGTCACGTTTAAATTTAGGTTTTAATCTTTTAGTCGCTGATAATAAAATGAAATATGTTGTGATTTTCAGGGTATTAAAAGTCAAAAGTTAACTAAGTAGTTTTTTTATAATATGTATACAGCATAAATACTGCGTGAACTTGAGAACTGTAAACGAGGGATGCCACCCGGATAAAACATTTGGTCAGTTCGGTTCAGCAATCTAAATATATATGTACATATTTATATATCTGTTCGGTTGTATGCGCCTTTTAGTGCATGCGCCCTTTGATCCACCACTGAACTACCTATCATCTGAATACGCTCCNTCGCACGCCAAGGGTGCCAGAAAGAGCGCTAATCGTCGCCGCCAACAGCGCAACACCAAGCGCTATCCGTCAGCAGCGCAACGTCAAGCGCACCAGCAAGAGCGCTAACCGGCGCCGTCAACAGCGCAACGCCAAGCGGGCCAACCAGAGTGCTACTTACAGTCACCAGCGGAGCCCACTCACAAGGGCATTACTCATCGGCGCTAACCGAGCGCCTCTCATCGTCGCCGCCGGCAGCGCAACACCACGCGCACCCGTAAGAACGCTACCCGTCGTCGTCGGCCGCGCCACGTCAAGCGCGCCAGCAAGAGCGCTATCCGTCGCCGTCAGCAGCGCGCCACTCAACGGCGTCAACAGAGCGCTGCTCACCAGAAGCGAAGTCACGCCACTACCGCCTAACGGGCCCATAGCGGGACAGGAAGCCGTTACCCAACCACTGCAAGTGACGCCAGCAAGTTTTGTTATTTGTTATATGTTCTTTATAGAAATTAAGAAAATTAAATTAATAAATTGCGATTTACCAGAGCCCCGAAACTACAAATTTATTGTAACGAACCCTGGACACGGCGAGTATACCCCAGCATTATAGAAGAAGCGGCGGGGCNTTTTTGAGTTTTTTTATAGCAAAAATAAAAGGCAAAGTTTGAGTGATATTTTTTGAGCAGAAGGTCACGTTTAAATTTAGGTTTTAATCTTTTAGTCGCTGATAATAAAATGAAATATGTTGTGATTTTCAGGGTATTAAAAGTCAAAAGTTAACTAAGTAGTTTTTTTATAATATGTATACAGCATAAATACTGCGTGAACTTGAGAACTGTAAACGAGGGATGCCACCCGGATAAAACATTTGGTCAGTTCGGTTCAGCAATCTAAATATATATGTACATATTTATATATCTGTTCGGTTGTATGCGCCTTTTAGTGCATGCGCCCTTTGATCCACCACTGAACTACCTATCATCTGAATACGCTCCTGCACTGATCCCGCAAATGCTTAAACACTATCACTTGCCTATGATAAGAACAAAGAATTAGGCAAACCTCTAATTGCTCGCCCTTGAACTTGAAATTTGAGTAAATATGTATGAATGCACATATTCGGCTATTGTTTTTGGCACATATGTAGTTTTAGTTGCTATTGTTTTCGCAAACTGGTGTAGATGAGTAAATATGTTTGACTGCATTTGGAATTTTCAGGCATACATATTGACGCATATAACGTTATGCACCTTTGTGATGTATTGTATAAATAGTAAACATTACAAGAAATAAAACTGAGCATTTGCATTTTGAATTCTAAGCAGAACTCTTTTGCGTTTTTATTTATTTTCTCAGCACTGCCGCCGGTCGAACAAATTAGTTTGCCCGTACAATATCTATATATATAACAAGTAAGAAAGTCTAAGTTCGGGCGGCGATGAACATTAAATACCCGGCGCAAGTATTAAGTATATGTTTTCCACTTTGTCGAAAGCTACCGCTACATAGTAAGCCGGGGTGTATCAATTTTGAGTAAATTAGCGTCCTTAAATTTCGAAATATTGAAGTTTCAAGCATTTCTGAAATTTACCGTTATGTGAAAAGCGGCCGTAATTTTCTTTTACGTGGCAAGCACAATAACCATACCGGGTTTGGTACAAATTGGTAGAACGGTTACCGAGATACATATATGTGATCATAAGTGGGCGGTGCCACGCCCATTTTCCAAAATTTTATCAATAACGTATTTCTTGGTAAAGAATTGTTGCAAGCATCAATTTTGAATAAATTAGCTTTACTATTTACTGATTTATCGAAGATTTTGTATTTATCTAAATTACCGTTATATGGGATGTGGGCGTGGTTATTGTCCGATTTTAAAAATTTTCGGCCATTTGGTATGCTGTAGCATGGCCGACAACTGTGCGAAGTGTGGAAGAAATTGGTGCAGC